GTTGATTCATCACAGGGGTGCCCGGCGTGGTAGACCCTTTCGCTTTTGGTTTTGGTTCTTTTCCAAAAGAACTCCCCTGGGGTTTCGTCCCGTCCCGCCGGAGATGCGTAACAGGTGGTTGCAAAAGTTGTTTCGGCTCCAGACGGCTCCAAGATGGAGTCCAAGATGGCCCAAGAGGGCCCAATATGGCCTCCAAGTTTGTCCAAGATGGTCCAAGATGGCCTCGAAGACGGCCCAAGAGTCCAAGATGCCTCCAAAATCGCACAAGAAAAACCTTAGACGGCCCAAGACGGCGCAAGAGGCCGCCAAGACGACCCAAGAGGCCTCGAAGAGTTCCTCCAGGACGTCCCGAAGAGGTCGAAACAATTGTTTGGTCCTTAGGTTTTCAAGGATTTTGGTTGTTGCTCTTTTTCGGCCTGCCGACCGCCCAAGACGGCCAAAGAGCTCATCAAGATGGCCCCAGGACGATCCAAGAGGCCCCCAAGATAGCCCAAAGAGGGCCCAAAGACGACCCAAGAGACCTCCAAGACGCCCACGATGGCCTCCAAGAAAGACAAGATGGCCTCCAAGATGCCTCCAAGACAGCCAAGAATGCCTCCAAGAAGGCGAAAATTGCCCCAAGATGCACTCGAGACGGCCCCAAATGGCCTGAAGATAGCCTTAGACTGCCCAAAAGGCCCGCCAGAGGCCTCCAAGACGGCCCAGGAGACCTCCAAAACGTCCTCCAGGAAACCCGAAAGCTCGGAAACCACCTGGTCCGATAGCTCGTCCGACTCCGTGTTCACCGAAAGCTTTCGAAACCCACTCGGGGAACGCGTGGCCCGATAGCTTGGCCAAGCACAAACCAAACTTTCGGCAGAGGGCGGCGGTGATTCGCCGTAGGCGTCTTCGATACACCGCCCCCCTGTTGGCTTGCCACAGGGGTGCCTGGCGTGCTGGACCCTTTCGGTTTTGGTTTTACTTGTTCCAAAAGAACTCTCCCTTGGGGCTCCAGCCCAGCCCGCCCGCCACCCGAAAGACTCCGTTGCCAAGCTCCAGACGGCTCCAAGATGGCCTCCAAGACGGCCCAAGAGGGTCCAAGATACTTCCCAGTCCGCCCAAGAAGCCTCCAAGACAGCCCAAGACTGCCCAAGAGGTGCCCAAGAGGACTTCAAGACGGCCCAAGAGGCCTCCGAGTGGTCCTCCAGGAGGGCCCGAAGAGGCCAAATCAATTAGTTTCCATAAAAATTTAAGGATTTCGAATTTGCTCTTGTTCGGCCTTCCGACCGCCCAAAACGGCCCAAAGGGGCCCCAAAGATCGCCCCCAGAGCGCCCAAGAGGCCTCCAGGATGGCCCCAAAACGGCCCAGGAGGCCCCCAAGGCGTCCCCAAGGCGGCCCAAAGACAGCACAAGAGGCCTCTAAGACGCCCCTAGGGAGCCTTCAAGACTGCCCTGGAGCACCCCAAAAGGGCCCCACGTCGGCCCAGAGAGGCCCCCCAAACGGCTTCCGACGGCGTCAGACGGGCCAGGAGCCCACCAAGACAGCCCAAATGGCTCTAAGATGGCCTAAGAGGCCTCAAAGAGGGCATCCAGGAAGGTCCGAAGAGGCCAAACTCATATTGATGTTCAATCGGTTTTGAAGGATTGTCGCATGTGCTTCTTTTCGGCCTACAGACGGCACGAGACGGCCCAAGAGTCCCAAAAGATCTCCCCAGGATCGCCCACGAAGTCTCCAAGATGACCCCAAAACCAAGAGGGCCCTTAAGAGGGCCCAAAGACGGCACAAGAGGGCTCCAGCACGCCCAAGAAGCCACCCAGACGGACCTGGAGCACCCCAAGAGGGCCCCACGTCGGCCCAGAGAGGCCCCCAACACGGCTTCCAACGGCGTCAGACGGGCCAGGAGCCCACCGAGACGGCCGAAGATGGCCCTAAGATAGCCCAAGACAGCCTCAGAGAGGGCCTCCAAGAGGGTATCCAGGAAGGCCCGAAGAGGCCAAACTCATATTTTTGTTCAATCGGTTTTTTACCTAACAGCGAAGACTGATAGGTTTCTAGTGGGGTCAAAAGAGAGCATCATGACTCCTCAGGGGGGTCGGGGCGGGACCCGGGGCGGCTGCCGTCGAAGCCCAAATCGCCTGGGACATCCTCGCAAAATCGCTCTTGGCGCTGCTAGAACTCCATTCCCGGCGTACATTTTGGATGCCCGGAGCCAACTGTAGGCCACTTCGTGGTCTTCGAGTTCCCAGAACTCCATTCCCGGGCCACATTTTGGATGCCCGGAGCCAACTGTAGGCCACTTCGTGGTCTTCGAGTTCCCAGAACTCCATTCCCGGGCCACATTTTGGATGCCCGGAGCCAACTGTAGGCCACTTCGTGCTCTTGGACTTCCCAGAACTTCATTCCTGGGCATGATTTTGAATGCCCGGAGCAAACTGTAGGCCACTTCGTGTTCTTCGAGCTCCCAGAATTCCATTCCCTGGCCACATTTTGAATGCTGAGGCAGGCTGATGCTGAGGCTGAGGCTGGCTGAGGCAGGCTGAGGCTGAGGCCGAGGCTGAAGGCAGACTGAGGCTGAGGCTGAGGCTGATGCAGGCTGAGGCTGCGGCTGAGGCAGGCTGAGGCTGATGCAGGCTGAGGCTGAGGCAGGCTGAGGCTGAGGCTGAGGCTGATGCAGGCTGAGGCTGAGGCAGGCTGAGGCTGAGGCCGAGGCTGAAGGCAGACTGAGGCTGAGGCTGAAGCAGGCCGAGGCTGAGGCTGAGGCTGAGGCAGGCTGAGGCTGAGGCTGAGGCAGGCTGATGCTGAGGCAGGCTGAGGCTGAGGCTGAGGCTGATGCAGGCTGAGGCTGAGGCAGGCCGAGGCTGAGGCCGAGGCTGAAGGCAGACTGAGGCTGAGGCTGAAGCAGGCTGAGGCTGAGGCTGAGGCAGGCTGAGGCTGAGGCAGGCTGAGGCTGAGGCTGAGGAGGCAGGCTGAGGCTGAGGCTGATGCAGGCTGAGGCAGGCTGAGAGGCTGAGGCTGAAGGCAGATGAGGCTGAGGCTGAGGCTGAGGCTGAGGCAGGCTGAGGCTGAGGCTGAGGCAGGCTGGCTGAGGCAGGCTGAGGCTGAGGCTGAGGCTGATGCAGGCTGAGGCTGAGGCAGCTGAGGCTGAGGCCGAGGCTGAAGGCAGACTGAGGCTGAGCTGCAGGCTGAGGCTGAGGCTGAGGCTGAGGCTGAGGCTGAGGAGGCTGAGGCTGAGGCTGAGGCTGAGCTGAGGCAGAGGCTGAGGCAGGCTGAGGCTGAGGCTGAGGCAGGCTGAGGCTGAGGCTGAGGCTGATGCAGGCTGAGGCTGAGGCAGGCTGAGGCTGAGGCCGAGGCTGAAGGCAGACTGAGGCTGAGGCTGAAGCAGGCTGAGGCTGAGGCTGAGGCAGGCTGAGGCTGAGGCTGAGGCTGGCTGATGCTGAGGCAGGCTGAGGCTGAGGCTGAGGCTGAGGCAGGCTCAGGCTGAGGCAGGCTGAGGCTGAGGCCGAGGCTGCAGGCAGACTGAGGCTGATGCAGGAGCAGGCTGAGGCTGAGGCTGAGGCAGGCTGAAGCTGAGGCTGAGGCTGGCTGATGCTGAGGCAGGCTGAGGCTGAGGCTGAGGCTAATGCAGGCCACTGCGACTGTCATCGCGAATGCGACTACGACTGCGAGAACAGCAGAACTCTACAACTGGATTATCATCTGAATCTTAAGGGGGATGCTTCCAGATATGCTCCTACACATTGCTGTTAGGTTGCTTTGCCGGGATAATGAAGGATTTTCGCATGTGCTTCTTTTCGGCCTTCCGAAAGTCCGAGACGGCCCAAGAGCACCCAAATATCTGTCCAAGATTGCCCAAGAGACCTCCAGGATGGCGCCAAAACGGCCCAAAGGCCCCCAAGAGGGCCCAAAGAGGGCCCAAAGACGGAACAAGAGGGCTCCAGCACGCCCAAGAAGCCACCCAGACGACCCTGGAGCACTCCAAGAGTGCCCCAAATCGGCCCAGAGAGGCCCCCGAAACGGCTTCCGACGGCGTCAGACGGGCCAGCAGCCCACCAAGACGGTCAAATATGCCCCCGAGAAGCTCCCACAGGCCCCCACGAGGCTCAAGGAGGCCCCAAGATACCTCCAAGCGGCTTCCAGAACGCTCCCAGGAGGCCGCAAGTTTGTCCCCATAGGCTCCCAATATGCCACCTCCTCTTCCTCCTCCTCCTCCTCCTCCTCCTCCTCCTCCTCCTCAACCGTCTCCTCTGCCTTCTCCTGATCTTCCCCGCCATCCGTCCTCAAATGTTCCCCGAAGGGTTTCCACAACGGTTGGGAGAACGCATGGTCCGATAGCTTGGCGGAGCTCTCGCCACAACGCTCGGCCACATGGGCGATTCTAGAAGGCAGGGGGCGGCGGTGATTCGCTGTAGGCGTCTTCGAAATCCAGCAGCTTCACATATGGAGGGCACTTGGTGTTCAACATGTGGTTCTAGCCGCAACGCCGCGCACATTCGTTTTGAAAGTTTGCAGCAATAGCTTCAAGGATGGACGGTGGTGTATTTTCATTGTGTGGCGTTCGAACTAAAACCGCACACGTTTTCTTAAACGTGTGCTACCGCTTCACTGACTCGTATAGTCGAGGTCGAAGTCCCAAGCAGGGTGTTCTACAACGCTTGAGCATTGCCTGGACGCACAAAGTTCACGTTGATTCGCGGCGTCGAAGTCCCAAGAAAGGTTTTCTGGCGCGTTCTAGACATGCCACGCACCAGTCACTTTGATCCGCGGCGCTGAAGTCCCAGGAACTGTGTTTTGGCACGCTGGAGAATTATCCAACGATTGCCTTCTGATGGGCCACGCCCTGCAATGAAAATACACTAGTTTAAAGATACATGGGGAGGGAACCTGGAGGAAGGGTTTATTGCACCATCGTTGATGCGTCTTTGGTGTACACTTGTCTTCCTCCTCCCCCTCCTCCTCCTGCTCCTCCTCCTCCTCCCCGTCCCCCCCCCGCCTCCCCTCCCCATGCCCCCAAGGAGGGAGCCTCGGGAATTCTCGGAGGTGAAAGGCATCAAGCAGTCGATCAACAGCTCCAAGACGACCAGGGCGACGATGCCGTCCAGGCTCTGGAGGTGAAGAGAAGTGGGGGGAGGCAGGGAAGGGGGAGGGAGGGGGAGGAGGGGGGAGGGCAAGCTCGACGCGCTTAAGTCAAGTCTGAACTCCTGCACCTCCCACCAAGGTGTTTCCTGGCGAACCGATGTTTTTTTTTCAGCAGCAGCAAAATACAAGGGCAGGAGTCGAGAGGAGCCAAAACACCGGGGGAGCCCAAAAGAGCGACAAAGCCCAGGGCACACTGGTAACGCACAGCCAACAACGCAACAATGGAGCTGCGTAACAACGTTACTGATGATACGGCATCATCATTTTTTGTGCGCGTGCTTGTGTTGCCTGGCCATGGCTGGGTTTCTCTGGCGCACAAGACGGGCTTCCTGGATGATGGCAAGCTGGCGACTGGGGACACTGGAGGATGACAAGCACAGAAACATGGCTGGTCGTCTGAGCGTTTCTGCTTGTACGTGTTGCTCGATGTTCAAAGCAGCAAGCCGCTTTGTAAAAGGGGCTGCTGTTGTTGGTCGTCGGCCAAGTGATGCGACTGGCTCCTCCCGTCAACAAGCGGGGAATTAAAAAGGTACGCACACCGCTGGAGCACAGACCCCTCTCGGGGCGCGTTTTGGCGAGGATTTCAAAAACAGTCCGGCCGTGGCGGCGAGGACTCCTCAGGACGAGAAGCGGTATCGGTACCTCTTCCTCTGAGCAGTGGCCCCCCGTGCCCCAAGCGGACGCGCAAGCGCAGCTCAGCGCAAGGAGCGGCTGAACGCAAGCGGAGACCCCTAACATCAGTACGAGAAGGACCCGACCACAGGAGTAGAGCTTCAAGAGACAGGCTCACCAGATACTGTATCTCGCTCCCCAGCGTAAAGTTCTCGCGCGCGATGTCGAGCCGAGCCCAAGGAGGCAGCCTCCCACAGGCATGCGCGAGCGAACATCGAAATTTGATCGGGTGAGTCGGCAAAGACAACTCACCCACTCTCACTGCTAATTCTGGGCGCGCTGGCCCGACACGACATGTTAGAATCTGGCTCGGCCGAAACAGTCCTCCTCTCCGAGAAGCGCGGGCACTCCTGAAACATAAGACGAGCACTTGGACGAGGACACCTGCACCACTTGCAGCACTTGCTGAAGGCGTGTACGGATTTGGCAGCCGCTTCCATGGAAGATAGACCGCATGAGCTTCCCCTCCGTCGATGGTGTCGACTCGGGCTTACGAAAAAAGGCAGCGAAACTACTGTGAGTCGAGGCGGCTGCGATATACGGCTTCGAGGCAACGGAATCGAGCGAGAGCACGGACGGCCTGGGCTCCATCGGGAGCCTCGGCCAAGAACGGATCCCCCTGTTCCAGCACTTTCTCGGCAACTCTCTGTACCCTAGATTATCCGTCATCTGGCACTTTAACACGGATACCCAATTCAGCGCTATGATCTAGGCACTCGAGACCTAGCTTTTCGAAGTGAACCTGAAAGGCCCTGCTCAGAAACTCGCTCGGAACCCGGTTTTCATACACCATCGTCTTCATATTCTGCAGGCACGGGGGAAACATCGGGTAAGTTGCGCGCGTTGGCCCCACCATCCCCCAACACACCACACTTTGTTCCCCGTCTTAACAGCAGCTTGAAAGAGCGCTCCCGGGGCCCATCGAGGCACGGGTCCCACGAGTGGCGCTCGCAATAACCAGAAGGACCTGACGCAGGCCGAGGCTAGAAGTTCCCGAACAACAGCAGCCCCAGGACAACTTCTGACGGTTCCGATCGAAGTCTCGACGCGCTTCCAACCGCCACGAAAGCGATTAGGAGCTCTACGTCGTTCACTCTTCCTCCCTCTCAGAACTGGCGTGTCGCAGTTATCTCGACGAGCCCTACTTCTAGGTCGAAGGCCTGAGTCTTGTCCAAAACCTCATTTAGGTCAGCATCTGCTCGGCCATCCGCAGCACTCAACGAGCGGCCATCCACATACGCTAACACTTCTGCAGGATCTGCGTTCGAAGGTACACGTGTTGCTACCAAAGCCTTTGGCGCACACGAACCACCTTGCGGTAGACCCCACTTTGCCCAAGCAAGGGGAAGCAATTCATTTTGAAGACAGCATACCCTCGGCCGCGGCGAGGGCGTTGTTTGAAGGCGACGCCTAGCAACCGCATGCGGCGGTGCAGGGCCCGGCGTGGGTCGCTTGCCTGAAGCGCGGGTGCTGGGCGCCGTGCTGGCGGCGGCTCGCGAGCCGACCCTGCGGCGGCTGGGCTCCCGCGTTGCCGCCGCGGGCCGCCATGCTGCTCCTGCTGCCTGCGGAGCCCGCTGGCGGCCGCGACGCCGAATGGTGCACGGCCCTGCGGGCTCGTCTGCAAGAGCGGCCGGGCGCCCCTGACTAATTGGGTGGGCGCGCGCCGGGGCCGCCCTCTGCCTCCCGCCCCTCCCCCCCTTCTCTTTGTCCCCTCTCTGCCACTGGGCTCCTGCACGCTGGTAAAAAAGTGCATGTACGCAAACATATGCCGATGAGGGCAGGAGGTACATGTTGAACGGCAAGAGCTGCTGCAGCTACATAAAAGGGTCAACGATATTAGGCGTTGGACAGGTCAATATGTAGGCCTTTCCTGGCCCGCGCAGATACCCATTTTGAAACAACATGAACTATACGTGCGCCCGAATTGCATGCACATTGACTTGCCGCCGCCGTCGGAAGCGCTGCTGCCGTAGCTGGCACCCAACACAGAGAAAGAGCGGATGTCACTGATATCGGCCTGCTTTCATTGTTATTTTTTGGGGGGGTAATCCGACTACCCTCGATACGAATACCAGCTGGAGTAACTCCTCAGCTGGCTCCCCCTTTCCACACTGATCACGAGATCGGCTATGCCGTACCAGATCGTACAGCTCGTCGATGATGTACGGGGCTACTTTCATGAGTAAGCGGGCTGCTGCTGCACTCGCACCATCCATACCTGCTGCACCTTTGCATGTCTTACGGCTGCAGTAAGCCCAGCTTTGCAGGGGAACCAGTCTTTTGGTTTGCTGCTTGTCGGGGTCGGCTTTGCTGCTGCTGACCATTCTTTCCAATTGGATACCTTGGATTCGCTCTCATATTTTCTGGCTCCACACGGCTCCCGTTCGGCCCGCATCCCGTCGCTACTCAACCCTGGGCTCGTGGACCCCGCTTCGAATACAGGCGTGACAAGACTCTGAAAATCATTACTCCACTCCTGGAATCTAGCACCCCAATGCGTACGCTCCTCATCGGCAACCTTAGGCTGTTCGCTGAAAATGGCTCTGCTCACGGTGTCCAAGGCTTGGCCATAACTAACCGGCCACTGGCGAAATCAGCTTGTCCTCAACAGCAGATAGGAATGCAGCCAGGTGTCGACAGTGTAGTGCTTCAACTACTCCTTCACGATATCTTACCTGCACCTCGAACGCTCTATATGCAGACGGCGAAGTCGGCGGAGGGCCACCGACTCGGCGAGGCAGTGGGCAAGGGGGTGAGTGCACGACTTGGACGTAGGGTATGATTCTTGTGATGGGCAAATTCTCCCCCATCATTACCGTATGTAGGACGGGGGAGACCTCCTCCTCCTCCTCCTCCTCCTCCTTCCTGCCTGCAGTCGTGGTGGAAAATGGGCCCATCACCTATGTCTTCCAGCGGCCCGAGCGAGACGTACCTATTTCTGCCTTCTAGCTTCATCAAGTGCATGCTCAGCTTTTGCATGCCACGCTTTCCATTTAGTCGACAGAGCATTTGATCGACGAAGTACGGGGATGAGGTTGCTACAAATTTTGAGGACGTCCTGCTGCTGATACTTGTTCACGACGGCGATCGAGGCCTCCTCGTACAGGGTGGTTGCCCTGAGACGCGTGAGTGCTCGCTCTTGGACATGCACCCCTAAACCCCTAAACCCATGATGCGGCATGTTCTCCAGGAAGTGCGTGCCGACGCGCTGAGGGCGGGGGGGGGGGGGGGGGCATTTGCCTCGGCATGCAATCTCAAACAACTTGGGCCAGCCTGGGCGCAGCCGCCCCCGAGGGTAACTAGCCCAGGGCCAGCTGGAGCAGCACGCAGCAGCGGTACGGGAGTGCGCACGAGGACGCAGCGCCCCAGGAGGCCAAGAGAAGCGGCGAGGAGCATCGGAGTTCCTCTCTCCTCCTCGCTAGCTAGCAAGCACCGCGGGTGCTACCCCCGTGAAGCATGCAAAGGGGAAGAACAAGACCCCCCGCCGCGAGAGGGGCGACGGGCGGCCACGGGAAGACGGGCCGGTGAACCCTATAGGGCCCCTCGGGAAAGATTTCGAGGCCCGAGTCCGTCCCCTCCTCATCCTCCTCCCCTCCTCGTCCTCCTCCTGCTCCTATTCTCCTCCTCTTCCTCCTATTTCTCCTCCTCCTATTTCTCCTCCTCCTCCTCCTCCTCCGCCTCCTCCTCTGTCTCCTCCCCTCCCCTCGAGCTCCGGAGCGAGTCCTAACCACCTCCCTGCGCCCCCCGCTCCTCGCTCGGAGGCCCCAGCGCACCAGCAAGAAATCGTGCGGCGGCGGAGCGGCAGGACGGCCCGGGCGCCGTGCACCCCCAGGCTGTAGAGAAGGCAGAGCCCCGGCTGGCCACAGGATGCGGTCCCGAAGGAAGCAGGTCCCGAGTAGGAACAAGGAAAGGCGACACCAACACGAACAGGGCGAGGAGATGCGCGGAGGCAAGGGGGGTCTCCCTGGTGGTGTGGTCCCCCCCTCTCGCTCGAGACATCCCCAGTCTCCCGCTCGGGGAGGCATTGTGGACCTCCTCGCTGGAGGTGGGCCCCCTGGTGGTAGTGGTATCGCTTCTCCTCCCTCCGACTGAGCCCCCGAGCTCTCCCTCCGACGGAGCCCCCGAGCTCTCTCTCACGCTGAGGCGCAGGAGTAAAGGTCCCTAGGCCCCGGAAGTGCCCGTTTCTCTTCGTGGTGGCCCCGCGAGGCGAGAGAAAACCATCAAGGCTGACGGGGCCAGATCTGAGATGGTGGCAACACCGCGACACTCTCGACCAGCCAGGCCCATGGCGAGTCAGCGTGAACCTCGCCCTGCCACAGGCAGGTCGATTCGCCCTGGGCGCGCCGAAAAGTACCATGTTTGAAGGTCCGCTTCGTAGGATTCTGGGCGTCAACGCCTTGTCGCCGTGAGCCTCAACACCAAGGGCTCGCGCGAGTCGCCCGCCAGTCTGCGATTTTGCTACGGGGATCAGGGCCGCCGGAGCATAGGAAAATTGCAAAACACCTCGACCACGAGGCTGAAGTTGTCTGTCCCGATGACATTGACGATCACAGCGCACACCTGCACGGGGGGGCGAGAGGGTGGGAGCGGGCGGTGCGTGCCGAACCCAGGCGTGTGCTGGCGATCGTCTGCGGCGCGAGCCGCGATTATCTTCGCGCTGTCGCGCACCCCTCTCCCTATCCTCCTCCCCGTCCTCCCTATCGTCCTCCCCATCCTCCCTCTTCGGGAATCTATTATCCCTATCCTCCTCCTTCCTCATGCTCGCTCCTGCTCCCCCTGATCACTCTTCCCTTCCCCCTCTACATCTGCCCTCTTACGCCCTCTCCAAAGACCACCTCCGTCCGCCACTCCATCCCGTGCTCCTCCTGCCTACTCACACCTCAACCCCTGGACGTGTCCCGGGGCGCGTTCCGCCCAGAATCGCAGGGCGGATCCAGCCTCGGCGAGGGGCAGCCCAGTGGAACTCCAGGCAAGGCGGACGACTTCCAAATTCCTCGACCTTGTTGCTCTAACCTCGAAGCTCGACCATCCTCCTCCTCCTCCTCCTCCTCCTCCTCCTCCTCCTCCTCCTGTCGCCCGCTTGGCTGCCGCAGTGGAACAGCGCCCGCCAGGGGAAAAGTCCGTCTCTCCACGGCGGCAATGCCGGCTGCCGCCAGCCGCCGACCTCCGACAATGTGATGTTTCACAGCGTGGCTCCCCAAAGGTCTGGACCGCTGCCCGAGGACCAGCTTTTCATCCTGACTCGGATTGTTGGACGGTCCCAGCAGTGGAATTATACACCATGCAATGTAGACATCCCTGTGGCGCGCTGCAGAATCGAAACCCCGTATGGGCTGGCAAGGGCCCCGCTCCCGCGAAGGGGTGCGCCGGGACTACCGTATCACGGTCCTCCCCTCCTCCACAATGAAAGGTTGGCGATCCAGCGTCCAGGCGCATTACCAAACATTGCGAAAAGCAGGCAAAACAACCATCGCAAGTCCGAAGGCCTGGGACACTTGTTGGTACTCTGTGGTGTCGAACAGGAGAAAGCCTCCTGCAACGACGAAACGTTGGTGCAGACATAGACATCGAGCAACCTCCAGACCCATGAAAGCACCGTCAACTGTTAAAATCGACAGAGGAACCTTGGCACCCGCACATGTCGAAACCACAACACGCCCCATTTGTCGAAATCGAAAACTACCTACTTCGAGTCTTGGGGGAGGAGCCGCACAGGTCTCCGCCCACGGGAGATTGATTCCATATCAATATCAAGCTGGATTCCGAAGCAGCTCGAAACAGCCACGCTGGTTTACCCAGCAGGGCGCGGGCCACCAGAGGAGGGGCTTCCACGCCTGAGGGTGCTTCCTGGAGAATCTACTCCTGAAGGTGCGAGGACTCAAATACGTAAGTCTACGGTTCGACACACTTGCATTCACGGGCGCACTACCCTTACCATCATTCTCAGTGCCACTTTCTCAGGATCTGTCATGCGGGGGAGGTGGTGGGGCCGCTGGATGACTCTGTCAGCTGAAGCGGGCTTAATATTGGAAGGTGGATGCACCCCACAACACACTGGAAAGCGGTGCTCGACAAGGTGCTTCGGGGGAAACTGGTCGCCAGACCAGCGGTACAACTGATTCGTCGTGGTCCAAAAACTGAAAGGAGGAGAAGCAACAACAACAGGACGGAAAAGAGGGCAGGGCGGGGAGGAGGTAGCAGCCCTGACACGTCCTTCGGTATGCCCTCCCTCCCTCCCCCCTCCTCGTCCCCGTGGCCTCCCGCCGCGACAGCCTTCTGTTAGCGGGAGCGGAAAGGTACTCCAGATTTCGTAATAAAAGAGAGGGGGTCTCAACCCTCCCAGACGAAAAGTTTTAGACCCCCCCCCGTGGGAGAACCCTCCAAAACATCGTCCCCAGACCCCCCCAGGCCCTCCAAGATAGCCTGGAAGAGACCCCCCCCCGAAATGAGACCCCCCTCCCTTTATTACGAAATCTGGAGTATACTCCTCGATCGGGGACGCATGTCCCAAGGGGGCTGCGAAATTGATGCCTCTACTGGGGAAACCAGAAGGTACCGATACTGCTACTCAAGAATTTCGAGGCGAATCCAGCGGTGGCGACGAGGGCCTCCCAAGAGGCCCCAAAAGGCGAAAACGAGGCACGGATAGCGGTATGGGTATCTTTTCCTCCTCCGAAGGTGGAGGTATAAACTTCCCAGCCGCCCTGGGACATGTGCCCCGAACCGAAGGACGGATTGTGCTGTACCGTTCTCCGCCCGCCGATCCTCGGGGCGAGTGGTGACACCACCGGGCACGCCCCGAAGCCTTGAGCACAGGGAGAGCCTCACAGAAAAGAATCTCGCGCCCCTCCCATCCCCTGGAGTAGGGGAAAACTGCACAAACAGCACCTTTCGGGGAACCGGGGCCCTTCCCCCAACAATGGAGGAGGAGGAGGAGGAGGAGGAGGAGGAGGAGGAGGAAGGAGAAAGGAGAAAAGTGCACCAGCAACAATAAAATAAGGAAGAGAAAGTACACCAACAACAACTCTCGGGGGTCCGCGCGGGTGGATCGGTGGATCGGCGCTGGGAACCCCATATTCCCGGCGACGGAGGCGACGCCAGGGGAGGCCTCAGCGCCGAGCCAAGAGGTCCGCGCGGACCTCCGAGAACGTATGGTTGTGCAGTGTTCCTTGTGCGATCCTGCCCCCCCTCCATGCCGACATCCTCCTGCCTCCCGACGGGCCTGCTGCCTCCCGCGGGGCAGCACACTGGCCCACGCCCTCGCGAGTTCGCTGCAGCACACTGGCCGGTCCGTCGCCCTGTCCGTCGTCGTCGTCGTGGTCGTCGTCGTTCCTGGCGTCGCCCCCCCAACCTCAGAAAACAGCAATCATCCTGGAGAAGGGCCCAACCATATGCAGTTGTTCCGAATACCGCAGTTCAGATGATCGTCTTCGGTGAGGCTCCCGATGGGGGCACGAACCATCTGGCGGGTGTGCCAAACTTGGAGGGGAGCCGCAGGCGAACCCTGCCATCGAGGCCCTTGGTGGAGCTCCCGATGGGGCCACGGAACGTGTGAGCGGTGTCCCAAAATGGACGGGGAAACGCATGCGGCCCCTGCCGCTTGGGCCTTCGGTGGAGCTCCCTATGGGGCTGCAAAACGTGTGAGGGGTGTGCCGACATGGGCGGGGAACTGCATGCGTTCCCTAGCAACGAGTCCTTCGGCGGAGCTCCCTATGGGGGCACGGAACCCGCGAGGGGTGTGCCGAAATGCGGCAAGGAATCGCATGCGAACACTGCCACTGAGGCCCGAGGTGGAACTCCCCATGATGGACGGGGAACCGCATAATTACGTACGAACCCAGCCAACCCAGCCACTGAGGCCCTCGGTGGGGCTCCCTAGCCATGGGGCCACGAAACGTGTGCAATGGGGCCTTCGATGGATGTCTCTATTGGGCCACGAAGCGTGTGAGGGATGTGCCGAAAGGGGGCGGAGAACCGCATGCGACCCTTGCCACTGAGGCTTCTGGTGGAGCTCCCCATGGGGCTACGAAGCGCGTGAGGGATGTTCGACATGGCCATGCGCAGGGCAGAGGCAGGGATGGGAGGAGGGGAGGAGGAGAGGAAGACGCTGGGCGCTGTCTCTTCAGAACGAGGACCTAACACCACATAATGGTTGGACGGTGGCAAGACCGCACGGATTTCTTGGATTCGCGCTCTACCCCCCACTCCCCGGCGCGCTCCGCGCGGCAAGAGCGGCGCTGGAAGCGTCGCCAGGGGAGTCCAGCGCAAATCCAAGACATCTGGGCGGACCTCAGACACTCTGTGCTTACATCGCGTCTTCTTCTGACCCTGCGAGTGCGAGCGCGAGCGCGAGGGAGGCCAAGCGGCAGATAAGAGCGGGCGCACGATGGCCGTGAAGAGCAGGGCCGAGCCGAGGAACGCCGACCTCTGCGCCCTCCCGCTCGACACGTCCACCTTCGGCGCGCGATCCAGCAGCCTTCCCTGGCATCAGTAGCCAGAATCGGCGGTGGACAAACCTCCCTTTAATAAACCACCCATGTGTGAAAACAGTCTAGAACCGACATCGACGGACCTGGACCCGCAAAAACGACGGCCGCGACGCCCTCTCGCGAACCGAAAACGGCCAATTCGCTAGTCGACATGTCAGGGTAGGTGGTCTATCAACCTCCGACTTTTCTGAGCATCGTGTATCCGACCCCCATCCCCGGCGGCGCGGCCTGGGTCCCGCTGGCCGATTTGACCCCCTAGATGGGGATAGTATAGGCCGTCCTCTTCAGGCTTCGAGGGGCGTATCCCCAACAACTGGGGGGGCAATGTGGTGAGGGCCTCGAAGGGGATGGGGATGGGGATGGGGGTCGGATAAACGATCCTGATGGTATCAGTTGGCACGCACAGGGACATACCAATACTATGTGTCCGCCTTGGAGGCGCGCGTCCAGCCCGATCATATAGTAAGAGCCCGCCACGCCGCGTAGACTATACGACTTCTCGGTGCGCGCGTCGCCCCCGGGGGCGCGACTCACACATAGAATAAGTGTGTTGGGCGGACGCCGATCCGTAGCCTTAGGGTTTAGGTCGCGCATGCCCCCCTACAGGGGGATTTGGAGCGACACCTAAAAAATACTCCACAAGTGCACAAAAAGGATATGAGCAAATACTCTGACACTCGTCCCCAGACTATAGTTTGACTATTTGGGGATTTGGGGATAGTCTTCCGGTAGGGGGACAGGCCCGGCCGAACGGTAGCCGGAGCCCGCAACAACAAGCTGCTGGCCGGCGGCCACCGGGCGAGCGCCCGCAAAAGACGCGGTCGAAAAGAAAAACGCCGGCGGGCCGCGCGCGGGCGGCGCGCGGGGAGGGGGGGGGGGGGGGGGAGCACGCGGGGAGAGGCCTCGAGGCGTACAGAGAGTCCACACCACGAGGAAGAGGGAGGAGGGAGGAGGAGGAGGAGGAGGAGGAGGGAGGAGGAGGAGGAGGAGGAGGAGGAGGAGGAGGAGGGAGGAGGAGGAGGAGGAGGGAGGGAGGGAGGACGCCTCGGATGACCTGTCATGCACCCAACAACGGGAGCATGGGCCAATCATATGGGCCCAGCTCGTTTACCGTGGATTCCCAAGGGAAAAAGTGACGGGAAACAGAGCGGGCCGAGGAAACTCATCAAAACAGTTTGAGTTGCTGGCCATTCTTGGGGTTCTTACCCGCCTTGATGGCCTTAATAGCATGCCTCTGCTTATACAGTGTGGGGGGGTGCTGAGAAGGGCCCAGACAGCAGCCTCCAAGCTTCGAATGCCCCTCACGCCCAGCATTAAGCTGGTACGACCCACACAAAGTGCGAACCAGAGCACCAAGATTCGAGAGAATTCGGTGACCATCTAACTCTACAATATCATCTGAACCAGGCAGCTGAGCCCCCGACGGACCAGGAACGACAGGGTCTTCGGGCGGGCTGAGCGCCTGCGCTTGTCCTAGCGCAACGTCGACCGCCTCACTTCTGTACGGCCGTGCACGCTGCAATACGACATCGCTGCGGGCCTGGAGCTTTTGTTGCTCCGTCGGCTCGCACTTAGCATAATTACTGATCCCCGCCACGAGTTTCAACAAACTGGCTGGGGTCCGAGCCGTGGCCAAACAGATCTTGCACTGCCAGACCCCAGGACTGCGGACGACCACCTCGTGCACACGCAATCCTACGTGCTGTACAGGAATCGGGGGGCCACCTAACTTGAGCCTCTCGGGTCTACAGCTGGTGGAGTCCCTGGTGATAAGCTTTGCTGCCGCCCAGGAGAAGAACTGTGCATTCAACTTATCTTGACTCAGCCTGGCCTCGAACATTTTGACCGTCGATTTGTGTACTGCATGCATGTTGGCCCCCTCCCTAGCGAAAAAGTCCGCCCACATGTTTCCGAGCAGAAATTCAAATGGGAGGGTGTCGAAGTGTACCTCCAGGTAACTCTCGATCGTAATGTGCGCGGGCGTCCAGCAAGCTCTGGGCCGACGCTTGTCGTCAGCAGCATGAAAGATGTGCCTCCAGATGTCCGCGTATGTCGAATTCGCATCTTCCTGGTCGTGGTGCCAGGAATTCACTTCAGCTGCCAGGCTCTGGAGATCTGTCACCAATAGGTCCACAGCTGGTAAAAGCCTGGGTGACATGAGGAAAGCCATTCGCTCCGATCTCCCGACCGTCTGGATCGGACCCTCGAGGGGCCCATAAGCAGCACGAACAGGCAGCCCGTTGTCCCCCATGACGACGAACGACCACCCACATCGACGAATCTCAGGCCACGCTGGGGCCAGCCCCGAACCATCTGAGAACACCATTGAGCTCCAGGACCTTCTGTCAGACTCCCAGTCACCCCAGTAGACGTACTGCAACTTGGACTCCACATAAGGTGGGATGAGAGGGCTCACAGGTATGCCTACTGCCGTGGCAAGACAGTCCCAGTCGGGCTCTCCAAGGGCCTTTTGTCCGAGCTCCCTTAGCATATCATATGTGTACTGCATATCAGTGTTCCAGTCGAGATCGGGCTCCTCAGGCATGTCGTCATAAAAACTAGGACAGCAAAAGAACTCGTGTCCAATGGTCGATTGCTCCGCTGCGCAGTAGATGCAAGCAGGGGAGATCTGGTACCCTTTGGCAGCCAGCCTGGAACGTGACCAAATAGAGTCAGACCACAATGCACGAAGCGCGCCTGCAAATCGTGGGTTCGTGACCACTGCCTTCTTAGCACCAATACATCTTCTCATAGCTCTCATCCATATGACCTCATCCCCATAGCAAACCTCCTTGTGATGTGCAAGTATGCGCATGCCTTGCCAGCGCTCGATGCCTTGCCTGACCAACTCCAGCACATCCTTGGGACAGAGCTGAAGGAGGTCAAACGTATGACCTAGGTCGCTGTATATCCCCGTGGCGGAATACATGCCCCATCCTATTCTCCTCAAAGACATCCATACAACAGCGATGGGACCCCTTGCAGAGGTCCAAGAAGCCTTATTCTTGAGCCCCTCATCAACCTTCATCCAAGCCCTCTGCAGTCTCCCAAGGCAAACTCTGTTGCCCCAAACGAAGCTGCAGTAGGCCTTCAGGGGGTCCATGGTGGCATTGTATATTGGGTCGTACTTGGCGTCAGCCTGCGTAGCCAGATATACAGTGAGAGAAGAAACTGCCGTCGAACGGCCACATAACATGCCAGCAACAGAGCGTAAACGAGCAAGCTCTTGGTCACTGACTCCTGATACCGTCGCGCCATGCGCAGCAGCAGGAAGGAGTCCTGTTCTCCAGATTGCGGTGACTCTGTTGCCAGCCGCCTTCTGGAGCATAATAAGCCTTGGGAGCCTGTCATGCAAGCCCTTCATCCTAGCCTTAGCTTGTTTCCTCACAGGAACTGGCCCACTATGTTCATGCCCAAGATTTCGTGCCCACTTCTTGCCTTTGAGGTTTATCCTTGAGGCCAACTTGCGGAACCCATGGTGCCCCTTCCTAAAGGGAGGGAGGGAGGAGGAGGAGGAGGAGGAGGAGGAGAGAGGAAGGAGGGAGGAGGAGGAGGAGGAGGAGGAGGAGGAGGAAGGAAGAAAGAGGGAGGAGGACGAGGAGGGAGGAGGAGGACGAGGAGGGAGGAGGAGGATGAGGAGGAGGCGGGGAGAGTCCACAGGCGCGGGGAATGGTGCACAACGCGAAACAAAGACGGCACCGTGCGATCCCTCCACCGTGCACCCTGGCACGTCGCGTCGTGGTAGGATGCCGGGTGCAGCCTGGTAGTGCTGCTGCATGCCTCCTCAAAGCCACCCGCCCCACCCACCCGCCCTGGCGCACCCGTGTGCACCGTCCCCCCACCCACCCCCCATCCACCCACGTGGCTCCCAGGGCGCACCCGACGCTTCTCTGGGACTCTCCGAGGCGTCCAGGACGCCCAAGATGGCTTCCGAGACGACCCACAGATGCCACCAAGGCCGCCAGGATTGCGCAAGATGCCCCCAAGACGGTCCAAGATGGTCCCAAAATAGCTTCAAGAAACCAAGACGGCTTCGTGAAGACTCCGAGGAGGGCCCAGAGAGGCCAAAATCATATGATCTGGCATCGGATGTGTGAACGATTTCCGCGTTCTCGCCTTTCGGGCTTCCGTGCCCGAGACAGCCGGAGAAGCCTCCAATCTGGCCCCAAGGCGGCCCAATTGCCCCCTCACGAGGGCTCGAGACGCCCAAAGAGGCCCTCGAGATTTGCCAAGAGATCCAAGTGACCCCCAAGACGACCCTTGAGGTTGCCAAGCGGTCCCAAGACGGCCCAGGGAGGCCTCCAAGATAGACTCCGAATGCGCCAGACTGCAAACGAGTGCCCTGATACGGCCCAGGGAGCGCCCAACAGACCCGAGAGGTCCGTATGACGCCCCCATGTCGCCCCCAAGAGGCTCCCAAGACGCGCTCCAGAGGCACCAACAGAGAAGGACATCAGTAGAAGAAGGGAGTCAGGCGACGACAAACACGAATATAGATACTCCGACACGACGCGGAGACACGTACCACAGTTAACGGCTGCCCAAAAAGGGATCGCGCCATAGTTTGCTGTTCCCCCACGCCTCAGAAGACGGGGTGTCACACGTCACGGCTACCTGCCCTAACCCAGGGCTTGGCTGGCACGGTTGCAGGACGTGCCGCAGTCAGCTTGACGATGTTAGACTAGATATGACCGCCTGCGCTAGAATTCCACCAGCAATGGGCGGTCAGTTAGCGAGTTAGGTGGAGCTGTACCCCTGCGCCTACCCCATCTTCAGAGCATCCCATATGGCCAACGTTGGCTCCAAAATGGCCTCCGATATGCCAAAATGAACTCCGCGATCGCACAAGAGCAGGCAAGATGGCTCACCATAGCTTCCGGCAAGCCTCCAAGGGACTCCCAGGTCGCCCCGAGACGACTTCAAGTGACCACAGAGCCTGAACAATTCATCCCAAAACCTATGGAATCCGAATGTTGGTAGCCGTTTCGCCATCTCGCTTCCACTTGGCTTCTAACGACTCAAAGTGGCCCCTATATTACCTAAGCGAACTCCAAGGGGCACCCATAATGGTTCAAAAACGGTCCCATGAGGGCCCCAAGAAGGCCCAAACATACATGTGTCGGCTGCGACGGCGCGTCATTAAATTGGAATCGGCGTTACCGCCTTAATCAATGTGTTACTGGTGTCAGTGTTACTCCCACCCTTACCATGTTTACTGCGCATCTTACTGATCGAACTGCTGCTAACCTAGTCATGTCCATAGCAAACACATGATAGCGTGGCTCACGAGAACGTTCGGAGGCTGCTGATTACGATTCGGTGATAAATTCGAATAGCGGGTTCGTTATAATAGTATGCAACGGCTGCTGCATTGCAAAACAGCGCCTGAGCTTCGAATACGTTACCATACCCCGACTGCGGCTGGGTCATAGCAACATTTCAGCGGGCAGAGCGACGGGAACTGCCTCGATTGCGGTTTAGAATCCTATGTGCGATGTGTCCCGCTTATCGCTCCACTGATGAATCCTCTCGGCCTTGTGTTAGTCTGGCTGGGATTTCAAACTGAGTGAAAAGATAGCAGACACCTGATATCCAAACAACATCTTGGAGACACGCATGTCAGAGTGTAAGATTGAATAGTTCCAGAAAGCTTTGCATGCATACTGGAGTGGCCCTGCGAAGAGGAGCATTGAGACACACATCTGACGACCATTTGCCATGCGACCGTCGGGGGGCTCAACAGATGTACGAGTGCAAGGAGGCGATTAGCATGGCAATGCCCAAAACTCTGGACCTGAACCGACTGAACGATTGTCAAGGCAACTCTGCCAACAACAATGATGTAGACTGATGTAGACCGGACGTGAACCCGCAAGCATCGCACTTCCATCTCTTTCCCTCTGGTCCGAAGAGGTCTGCACTGATGAAGAGGAAACACTACGGGAAGCGCCGCCTCTGTCCACTCAGCTCATGAGACGAAGAGCAAAAAGACGCGAGAGGATGACGACAAGGAGGCGAGTGAGGAGGGGGGCGGTGTGGAAGACGGCGGGGAAGCGAGTATGACCAGAAGGACTGCGACGAAGAACACATGCACAGAGACGCAAACGATAAGACGAGGAGAGGGAGACCAAGGAGGAGGACGACGACTAGACCGACAAGGGAGGGGTACGAGGACGTCATCGTGGAAGACGAGGACAGCGCGGATGAGGAGGGGAAGAGCGGGGAGGACGAGGACGACGAGGTTCTCGAGGGGAAGGACGACGAGGACGAGGGGGATGCTGACAAGGATAGGAACGAATTCAAAAACAGCGTGGAGGACAACGCGGAGGACAGGAATGATGACGAGAATGAGGAGGACGACGAAGATAAGAGGAACAAGGAGAACGAGGAGAAGGACGTGGAAGAAATAAGGGCCATTGCTACTTGTCGGGGCTACGATGGGGACTACCAGGAGCGTCTGCGGCCGTCTTCGAGGACCTCTGTGGGGCCTCTTCAAAGCTTCGTGAGCGGCGCTTGATGTCAGCCTGTCGGGATCCTCGTGTGGACGTCTAGAAACGTTCCCGGAGAACGGTCGGGGAAATCCTGGATCGCCGTGACGCCTCCCGAGGCCGTCTCCCGGCTCTCGTGGGCCGTCTTGGGGGGTCTCCTGGGGCATCTTTCGGAGCAGCTTGAGGACGGCGTGAAGTGATGTCGGGCACTCTTTTGGATTCGCCAGGGAGGCCCTTTTCGCACGCACGCGCATGTCGAACCACAACATCATCGCGCACCTGCCAGCTCTGCAAACTAAATCCAATGCGGGGCCACACGCGCGCGTTTCCTCGAACGTGCACGTCGACCTCAGTCCAGCAGCATACTGGCGCTCTAAGCAGTTGCAGCTCGGAGATGTCCAACCACAGACGACACCTCACAGGGCTGAACCTAAAAGGTGTGTTTCGTTTTCGTTTTGTTTTCGTTTTCCTCGTTTTGCCTTCAGACCACCTTTACCGCAAAACGAAGTCGAAACGAAAACGGCCCACGAAATCGCCAAACCACCGTTTAGGTCAAGCCCTGACACATCATATTTTCAAATCGGAAGCTCTCACCAACCCTGAATGTTTGCGCGCACATCCTGGTCATGATCATCAGCAACAACATCCTCAGCATCATCGCCAACATAACCGTTTGCAATCGCCATCACCGTCATCATCACCATCGGAGGCACTACTCCTTCCGACATCATCGTCGTCATCGCCGTTGTCGCTCTCGACACTACCACCACAATCAACATCACCAACATCATCATCCCCAGCATTCTCATCATCATAAAAAAACAGCATCAGGAACCATGAGCAGCATCATCGTTATACTCAGCATCATGATCATCATCAGCAGCAGCATCCGCATCCTAATCGTCACCATAATCGTCAGCTCCATAAACATCAACAACATCATCAGTATCATCATTAATATCAGCAGCATCATCACCATCAACATAGCAATACAATCATCATCACCATCATCAGCATCATCATCATCAGCACCATCATCAACATCATCGTCAGCATTTTCATCATCAGCAACGCCATCACAATTATCACCTCATATACATATATATATATATATACATATTCATCTATAGCATAATCGTCATCAACATCATCACCACCATTATCATATTCCCCCTCCTACTCCTCATCATCATCATCACCACCTGCGTCACGATTGGCACCGCCATCACCATCATCGCCGTCGCCATCGCATCGTCCGCATTATCATCCCCACAGTCGTTAGCATCCTCGTCGTCATCGTCACTGTCGACGCCCTCTCTGTAAGCGCCACCGTCATCACTACCTCTAGCACTCGCTTGCTCGAGGCATGGGTCTGCATGAGAAGGGTTCTCGCGTCATTACGCCAATCGAGTTTGCTATCCAATTGCGTGAAGGTCGGTCTGATGGTTGCACGAGCATTGGAGATGTTCACGCGCGGATGCAAACAAGGTGCATTGCACCTCATAGGCTACACCCAGTGCAATCAGTCTATCGCACTCCTAGGATTGCACCCCCATGGGCTGTATGGTGTGCCTGTTTGGGGTCCACGCGCTGGAATCATTGAAAATCAGGCCACCCGCTCTCACAGTAGCAATGCGTCACAGCCCAATGCGTATCTGCTATCGCCTTATTGCTGAACCTCTGTGTTCCATCAACCATTGCAGTGCTCCTCCTGAACTCCCGCCTGGGGCTGGCAGCGGCCTGCTTCTGGAGTGGCGACAGGCGCGTTTTGAAATGCTCGCATGTCCAGGCCGAGACTAGCCCCGTGGGCCTCACTCAGACGCCGTCCTGACCCGACGGTTCGAGCCGACCCCCCCCCTCAGAGGCCTCAAAATACCCCCACGCACTGACATACAAAGGTGCTACGCGTCGGAAGACGGGCGTGCACCGAAGGCCTGCTCGCCACGAAGGCGCTCTTCCTTGGCAGGCGGGAGGCATGGGCACCCAAAAAGATCAGAATGCAAGAGTCGTCGGATGAGCGCTCAGCCAGTCTCAAAACCGTCAAACAACTGTCACGACGTCAACTGATCAGGACGCATCCATGGGTCGCAATCCCCTGCCAGTCCAAACTCGCCAGCGCGTTATCCTCAGCCCCATTCCTAGAGGCCTCCTGGAGGATCGCGCCGCATCGCCGATACATCGGGGATGCATCGGTGATGCATCGGCGATGCACTGGCGATGCATCGTCGACGTGGGCGATGCATCGGCGACGTCGACGTGAAGCAAATCGGGCCCCACATCGAGCCGCATCGGCGATGAATCGGAGATGCCACGCGATCCTCCGATCTCAGCTACTCCGACCCCATCCAGGAGGCCTAGAATTCCTCCTCCCTTTGAGCAGGGACCGACCGTCCCGGCATTCCAACAATCCTACCACGAAATGTTCTTAGAACCCCAAAACTGTTCGAATAACAAAGACCATGTTCTCAGACCATTAACCCGACGCGTTAAACCAAGACAGCCTCAGCCAGACATGTTCTGAGAACATTCCGTGGGAACCACAGTAGGGTCTTAGAACATTCAGGGCAGTCTTTAATACATAGGATTTTAAACATATAGGATTTTGAATACATGATTAATTCATGAATGCATTCATGCATTAACTCATCGTTGTTTGTAATCCTAAATCCCTGCATGCTTAATACATGATCCGCACGCGGAGCATGTATTGAAAACGGCACCGTTCTTTGGTAGGGCTGTTGGCGAGCCAGGACGCCTCGCCACTGCCTGGACCCCTGCTGCCTCTGCCCGCCACCCCCTCCGAGCGCCAGCTCGGGCCGTCCCCCCAGAGGTGCGCCACGCGCCAGCTCGGGCCCTCGGGCCGCTGCCCTCCCTCCCTCGCCCCTCCCGCGCTCCCCCCTCGGCCCCCCCGCGCCGCGGGGGCCCCCAGGACTCACACAAAGAAATACTCGCAAACAAAAGTATTCCGCACATGCTTCCATGTGTCTTGTTTTTTCTTGTCTCCCCCCCTCCCCCTTCCCAATTGTCCGCATTTTCTGGGGAGTAAACGATGAATGGTGTCTGTGTGCTTTTTGCCCCCCTGAGCCAGGGCCCCCCCCCCTCCGCGGCGCGCCGCAGGCGGGCCGCGGCGTTCTGCAGCCGAGCGGCGCGCCCAGGCAGCGAGGGCCCCCGGCTCGCGCCGCGCAGGCGCGCGCCGCGGGCCGCGGCCCAGAGGAGGCCCAAAGGAGGCCCCTCCTTCGAGGAGGCCCAAGGAGGCCCCTCCTTCGAGGAGGCCAAAGGAGGCCCGAGGAGGCCCCTCCCTCGAGGAGGCCCAAGGAGGCCCTCCTTCGAGGAGGCCCATGGAGGCCCTTCTTCGAGGAGGCCCTCCTTCGAGGAGGCGCGGAGGAGGCCTCTCTCGAGGAGGCCCGAGAGGCGCCTCGGGGAGGCTCGGGGAGGCCCACGGGGCCTCTCTGGGAGGCTCGAGGGCACCTGGGGCGTTGGGGCATGCGGGGGACACCGTCCCGCGCGCGGCGGTGCGACGCCGGCGGCAGTGTGCTGGCCGCGGGCGCGCTGCGGAGCTGCCACGTGGACGATTTGCCATCTATGTCTTTTGGACCTCGCGCGAACGCCGCGGACGATGCTCGCGGAGTCGCTCTGGGGGCGATGGGGATAGGCTCACGAGATTTGTGGGCACCCAACTCTGTAACGGAGGCGTTGGCTAGCGGCGTCTTTGGACGGGTGGCCCCCCACTGCAACTCGAATCGCAAATGGTCGGACAGCTGACGGAGCCGTTATCCTCCTTACGATGTGAGCGCTGCGCTGACCAAAATAACGGGCGGGTCGCAGGGATTGCCGCCATCGCGACCCACTCAAGCCCCGCTGATGCCGCCCACTGAATGCCCAAAATAACAACTGTCTCACGGGTTGGCATTCGTTGCGCATAACATGTCTTTGCCTGAGCGAATGTTGCAGCGCCTTGTGAGGGATGACGCTCGCTTCGATGAACGATTGAATGCGCCACGCGGGAAACAGCGCAACCTTCGACAGGGATGGATAGTTAGTTGTTCTTCAGTGTTTTGCTGCGCCACTTGGACGACAGAGTTTGCTTGCTGCGCCACCTGGAAGACGGCGCAAGTCTCCTGGTGATGTGACGGGTTTGTCCTTGGTGTTGCATTTTCTGGCCGCTCGGAAGGACAGCATTGCGTTGTATGTTGTCCCGCTGCTGATGAAATATAGTGGACGTGATTTGGGCCACACGTCGACCGAGCGAAGCCACGAGCTCGTATTGGTTTTTCGGAGTGCGTATGTCACAACACGATGGCTGTAATCCCTGTAGAGCTCCTTCTGCTTCTCCGGATGCTCCTCCTTCGCCGTGCTCCTCCTCGAGCATCTTGCCCTCTCCAGCCTCCCTGATCCCTCCTCCCTTCCTGCTCCCTCCTCCATCGTCGTCGTCGTCCTCCTCCTCGTCGCCCCTCGTGCTCGCCCTCGTCCCCTCCTCCTCGTCCTCCTCGTCCTCCTCGTCCTCCTCGTCCTCATCCTCCTCCTCCTGCTCCTCCTCCTCCTCTCCTCCTCCTCCTCCTCCTCCTCCTCCTCCTCCTCCTCCTCCTCTTCCTCCTCCTCCTCCTTCCTCCTCCCTCCAACACGAGACGACGTTGCGAAACTCCGGCCGTGGAAAGCCTCGGCCTCCTCGGCCGAAGCCCCACGACCTGCAAGCGATGCCCGCCACGACAGGTCCTTCTGTCTGCGAGACAAGGGCGGGACACGCCAGGAGCGGCGCACACGTCCGCATCCGCGCCCTCGCGGTCTGCCTTCCGGGGCGCGATCCCGCGGATACGCGGTGCTACGGATATGCGTTCTGCGCGGGGCATCCGCGACAACCGTGCCCCTTTTCCGCGGGATCGCGGCCCAGGCAAGTGGGCGGGAGAACGCTTTCAGCTATCTTCAGGATCGCGGCCGTTGCCGGCCCCGGCCGCCCCCCTGCCGCCCCATGCCACACAACGATTCGCGCTGACCTCCGAGCTGGCCTGGGCTATTCCCGGACGTTCCCAGGCGGCGCCAGCACGAAACGTGACGTTACCGGCGCACCGCACCGCCCCCGCTCTCAGCGCCCCTCTAACGGGAACTCCACTGACGCGTACTTTGGCCAGTGACCCGGCGAACCCAAATCTCCCCCACGTGGGCAACGCTGCAATGCCAGAAAGAGGCCCTAAAAAGGCAAATTTCGGCAAATCTCCTAAGTACCCGTCAGCGAGTACCCGTTACGATGCCGCTGACCCTCCCCCCTCCTCAACTATCCCGGCAAAGCAACCTAACAGCGACGTGTAGAAGCATAGCTGGAAACATTGCCTGTGGTATTCATGTAAGAGCGCTGTTGTAGAATTCTGGTGTTCTCGCAGTCGCATTCGGGTTCGCAGTGGCAGTCGCACTGGCAACATCAGCGGCACTCGCAGTTCTTGTTCGGACGTTCCTTTATTTCGCTTTGGTATCCGGCCGAACTGCTTCACGTGCTCGACGAGCGTTTGCAGAGGACCGCTCAATGCAGCACGCTGAGGAGCAGCGCTGTTCCCTGCCGCAGGCTGAGGAGCACCGCTGTTCAATGCAGCAGGGTCAGGAGCACCGCCGCCAGACCGACAACTATCAGCATGTCCTGGCATTACGGTGCGCAGTAGGCGCTGCGCAGTTCCTTTGAAAAGGAAATCTTCGAAAGCAGGGCTGTAGCCAAGAAGGCTACGGGGACGATGATGATGATGAAGATGATGAGGCTTGGAAGTCTGGGAAGTGGAAGAGCACGAATGGCTCCGGGCATTCGAAATGTGGCCCGGGAGTAAAGTTCTGGGAAATGGAAAAGCACGAAGAGGCCTACAGTTGGCTCCGGGCATTCAAAATGTGGCCCGGGAGTGGTGTTCTGGGAAATCCAAGAGCACGAAGTGGCCTACAGTTGGCTCCGGGCATCCAAAATGTGACCCGGGAAAAGAATTCTGGGAGGTCCAAGAACACGAAATGGCCTACAGTTGGCTCCGGGCATCCAAAATGTGGCCCGGGAATGAATTCTTGGAAGTCGAAGAGCACGAAGTGGACTACAGTTGGCTCCGGGCATTCAAAATGTGGCCCGGGAGTGGAGTTCTGGGAGGTCGAAGAGCACGAAGTGTGCGACTGTCTGCTTAAAACGAGCCCGGCCCTCGCCTGTCCGGCTCTCGCCCAGACCCCCCTGGGGAGTCATCAGATGCTTTCTTTTGACCCTATTACAAACCTATTAGTTTTCGCTGTTAGGTAAAACGTGAAACCCTTCGCTGGCCAATCTGAAGAACATTCGAAGGTACCCTCCCCAGGATGCACAAGAACCTCCGACAAACACGAAAAACATTCGGTTACCCTCCCCGAATCGACCTCGATCTTATACCTCGGTCCGACCGTAACAAAAGCGCTCTCTGCGACAGAGACGTGGAGCCAGGTTCGGGCATGCCCAGCTCAGCCCTCCGCCTCCGAGATCGAGGCGCTGCCACAGTCGGTCGTGGTCTCTCCGACCTGGTTTCCCCCCAAAACGCCCTGGGTGTCTCCCAACCGGACCGCACCTTGGGCCGTTGACAGGCTCAGAGGCTAGTTGCTGTTGTGCTATCAGGCCCGTCTCCGTGGACCCCCACTTCCCAAAAAAAACATGGTTTCTCGTTCTTGTCGAAGGCGGCTCCTCGTGTTCCCTGCCGTCTTCGCCCCCCGCTCTCCTGTTCCTGCTGCCTCCCAGTCCTTCCGCTCCGCGCGCAAAGCTAAGCACGCACAACAAAACGCTGTAGCACTAGACCGCTCTGACCATGGCGCGACACAGGCCCGCGGTCCCCGCGACCGGCCAGCAGCAACGGCCAGGTAACAGCAATAACAAAAGCAAAGCAACAACAGCACCGACAACAACACTAGCAGTCATTGACAGCAACAACAATAACAACAGCAACAACAACGACAGCAGCAACAACAACAACAGCAACAA